TTGCAGCTGGGTTGCTACGGAAACAGGGTCTCTCTGCTGGTAGGACCTATGAACAGGGTCTCAATGTTGGCCAGACCCAGGGTAGGGCTTCACTACTGCTCTGCCTTTTTCCATTTACTACATAGGAAACCTGGGGTAGTAAATCATTTCACATCTTGCCCCATTATTGGCAAAAAGAAAGGGTTGGATTATTCCCTTCTGGCTCTAAATCTAGGATGTATGGTGTATTCAACACCCTAGAATGTAAGTTGCTTGAGGGCAAGGAACCTTTTTGGTCATGTTTCTATAGCCCTCCCCCCCCCAACTATTACAGGGCCTTGCAGGAGAGTAGCACTTAATAAATGCTTATTGGACTGAACTGAATTGAGTATTGCTGTGGAGAAGGAGGGAAATAAAAACACTTAAACCATCATTTCTCAAAAAGGAATTTTCCTTCCCAAAGGAGCCTTGGAAACACTACTTTCCCCTTTTATGCTGCCTAGAACTTAAAGTTAATAACATTATTGACCATCTTTATTCCCTACCAGCTTGTCTCAACCACCTCCTCCTGATTTCACTCAGTAAATCAGTGGCTGGGAACTGGACTCATTGATTAATATTTGGTATTTCCCTCCCTAAAAGAAATGTAGGTGCATCACTTAACAAAGTCAAAATTGTCATTGGCTTCCCATTTCAAGCAAAACTGTTCTGTTGATGCTTTACTGGGAAAGGTCTCACAGCTCCCAGAAAGTCAAGAAAATATGTGGTCTTCCAGAAGCTGAACATGTGTTACCCTCTGAGTGCTCAGCTGTCCACTGAGCAAAGGGAGGACAGCAGAGAATGTGCCTGAAGAGTTGTTGAAATCACTAACACAAAGGGACAGCTCATTAAAGCCGGCTGGATGGGCCAACAGCCCACTCCAGAGTGATGGTGGACATCTGAAGAGTTGGCTTAAGGAGCCACACTTTGAACCTGCTTTAGTCCTATGAGTTTCAGATTTCTCAGCGGCTCTCCCGTTCCCGACATGGACAGAATAAATCTCCATAACTCAACCATTTGCTACAGGGCTATAGTGAAATGGTGATTCACTGATTTCAGAGGTCTGTTTAAAATTAATGTACAAATTGCCAGCAGCATCTATAAAGGGATTTAAATATTTATGATTTCTTTAAAGTTCTAAAGGCTCTGTCTTATTTGATTATAACAGCTACTTTGATCTCTAATGGGATTCAGTGAAACAACTGTTGCGTACTGTGTCCCAAATTTAAATGCATGAGCCTCATCCTATGATTTCTTTCTCCTGTAACAGACTCACAGCCTGGAGGGGAAATCCAAAAGAAGGAATAAAGTGAGGCTGAAAAGGATTTCCCAAACCAGAAAGGTTAGGATAATTATAAAGACAAAAAAGTCCTTTGACACACATATAGACATGCCAAAGAAAAATGTCCTTGAGCCAACTAACAGGTTGAAGAGTAACCTTCCCAAAAGGCACGGGATCTTCAGGAGGCAATTAAACGTTGTGGGTTTCCCTAGCTTGCAGAAGCTTCATTTCATGCTTGAGATACGCAATCACCCATAAGCTTGTAACTGTTCATCATTCTAATTAGCTATCAAACCAAATTGTTGGGTTTTCTTCCTCAGACTTTAGTAATGGATGAGCTGAATGCTCATAATTAAATTAAGATACTTACAGATGTGGCACTTGTTATACCAATTCTGTAATTCTTAAAAAGAAAAATTATTTCCTTTTCCATTTCCAACAGAATCTATTCTCATCCTGATCAATTGCACGTATTCCTTAATGCCATTATAATTCTAATTTCTCTTAGTTTCATTCAGTTAAATATGTTTTTTGGTTTTTTTTTTTTTGCTTAAGAAAAGTCAGTGGAAACAAAGAGTTGACAGATTCCCCTTGAGTTAATAACTATTCCCTCTGACAATTTATTTCTCTCAAACTCAGTAATTACTATACTGGAATCTGGAGACAAAAGCCAACAGGACAACCAATTTGTCATTTACAGTCATACATTAAAAAGTCATTGAAATACAGTCACAAATAAGGATCCTAGTGACCATCAGGTATCATCTATTCTATCATCTGATTCCAGAATTATGCTTAATTCTAACTTGTGAAGGATTCAATTGAGAAAGGCTTTATTAAGTGTCTACTATGTGCCAGGCACAATGCTAGGTACTATGGACATATAGGAAAAACAAACATTCTGTGCCCTCGTGGAACTTACGTTCAATTGGAGGAAACAACCTGTGTACAGAAAAGTAAATTTTATGTGTGTGTGTACAGATATATCTATATACCTATACATATGTATATATATGATATACACATATACAGTAATTTCTAAGGGAAAGGAACTTGCAACTGGGGGAATCAGGATGGGCCTCTCTTAAGAGAGGATGGCATTTGAAGTTTTGAGGGAAGTTAGAGATTCCATGGGCCAGAGCTGAGGAGCATTAGAAGGTAATTCAGGCATAGGGGATGCCTGGGCAAAGACATAGTAGTGAGAAACCAATGTCCCGTGTGGAGAAGAGTAAATAACACAGTTTGGTTAGAATGCATGGTAGATGAGAGAGAGAGAGTAATTGTGATCAGCCTAGAAAGACTGTGGAAGGCTTTAAATGACAGAGAAATTTGCATTTTGTCCTAAGGTTGGCGAGGATCCACCAAGGAGTAACATGGCAGCCATGTATGTCAGGACTATCAATCTGACACCTGGGTGAAGGACAGACTGGAGAAGGCAAAGACTGGATGCAGGAGGTCACCGCCATAGTCTCAGTGAGAGGTGATAAGTACCTAGCCTAGGATGATCATGGCTTTGCTGTGGGTAGATAGATGGGAGAAATGGTGAGGAGATGGTTGGCCCTTCCATGTCTAATACAATTGTAGACTTCCTCTTCAACATCTCCCTGACTCTGGAGGAGAGAGTGAGACTGTGCAGCTCTGCCCCACTCATATCCTACTCACACTCAAGTCAAGACATCACTGTTGTTCCATCATTGGTCCTATCCAAGAACAAAGGACCACCACCACCAGCAGCAATAACAACAACCCAGCAGTTTTCTTTCTTCGTATGCCTACAAAGGGTTCTACCCTCCAAGAGAGGACAAGTCAACCCCGTCAACTTCCCATGCAATTTTCTTACTTTTTCAATATTGGATTCTAACAGGGAGGGGATCACTAGCCAGTGTTACTGACCCAAGATTTAGCTTTGGAAAAGAAACATGAATAAAATGTTAAACATAGAGCAACCCCTGGAAAATACCTAGGAAAGTTCTAAGATATGAATCTACTTCATGTATATATTTGTATATCAATAATGTACCTTGTGAGATTGCTTGCCTGATACATCATTTTTGGAAGTAACAAACTGCAACCCAAAGGTCTTCTTACTCTACTCTCCTTATAGCTAAAGAAGAGACCACCATTTTTAACAAAAAACTGGCAGGCTAATCTTACCAAGCCAAGGCAAAGGGGAGAATGGGCCTTGCATGTGAATTTGAGCTGAGCTAGACAGCTGATCCAGACTTAGAATTTAGAGAAGGAAGGGGCCTTAGAGGTCAGCTGGAGGATGAAGAGCCCAGGCATGATAGAGGAAATCCAAGTACAGAGTGCAGCCTTGAGTGGAAGCCCCCCAACCAATGCAGGTCAGCCCCTTCTCTGCAACTTCTCCTCTCAGAGAGTTACTTAGAGCACTAAAGGGTTAAGGTCACACAGCCAGTCCATGTAAGAAACAAGATTTGAACCCTGGCTTTGAGGTTGACTCTCTGTCCACTATCAGTGGGGGGGAGTGTAGGAAAGGTGGTAGCTTATCTGCGATAAAAAAAACAAAGGTCTCAGGCAGATTTGTTTCCTTTTTTCCCTATTAACTTTATTTTCACTTATTTTTAATTAGCAATTTAACTTAGATAGACTTCCCTGTCTGTCTAAAAAGGGTAGATATTATAGAAACCATTTTCAAAGAGAATAAGATGACGATGTAGATACTTACAGTGTTTCCAGGTTCTGAGCAGCTGCTCCAAATGATATCCTATGGCACATCCCACTAAGATAAGCATTTCCCAAACCCTGCCTACCATTACGGAGACACCTCTCTCTATTGGGATTGCCTGAACAAACAGTGGTATGTGAATGTAATGGAACACTATTGTACCATAAGAAATGATGAAAGGGATGATTTCTTAGAAGCCTGGGAAGACTCGTGTGAACTGACACAGAGTGAAGTGAACAGAACCAGGAGCATAATTTAGACAATAACAACAACTCCATAAAAATGAACAATTTTGAAAGACTGAAGAGCTCTGATCAACGCAATGATCAATCATGATTCCAGAGGGACAGTGATGAAGAATGATGGCCACTTCCTGACAGAGAGGTGATGGATTAAATATGGAGAATAAGAATGAGAAACACGGGTGCAGCTAGGTGGCACTATGGATAGGGATATTATTAATTAATCAATAATTGATTATGAATCAAATATTATTAATTAATAACAGTAATTTATTATTAATAATTAAATTATTGATATTGTTTGTATTAATTATTAATATGTTATGTAGAAAAGATAAATCATGCTCATTAAAAATAAATAAAAAGAAAGTTGATATAAAAAAAGAAACAAGTCTGACAGAAATCTTTGGGTTTTTTTTAACCACAGATAGGCCATCCGCTCCCCTCCCCCAATAATAAGCTGAATTCACATGTTCATCACACAGTTTCTCTGGGAAGATAAGGTCATGTTCCAGAAAGCACTTTTACAAGGCCACCACACCAACAAAGTGTTCATGGTTTTTGACTGGTGAAAAATAGCATGGATTAACAAATAGGGTACCACTGGCTTTGAAGTCAAACACTTATAAGTTGCATAAGCCTTGGCAAGCCCCCTCTTGCGCCTCAGTTTCCTCATCTGTAAAATGAGGGAACTGGATGTCAAGACCTCAAATGTCCCTTTCACCTCTAAAAAGTATGACTTTATGATGAAAATAAAATGCTGAGTTCTTACCATGATCCTCTAGTTCACAGGTAGATAGCCTATCTGAAGCTGTCCCCTGTCTCGGCTCCCGTCCCACAGAGCCCTGGGAGGTGACTGGCTGAGAGTGAGTCAGGGGTGGTTCTGCCGGCCGCTCCTCTTCACTTGGCTCAGATTCAACCAAATGTCCTGAAGCCTGGTCATAAGATTCCTTGGGGGAATGTAAAGGCATTTAATTAGTAACTAATTTAAAAGAAAACATCAAGATTACAAGGCCAATCATTTACTTTTTGGTCTTGGAAACTGCTTAAACAGAAACAGACAGCCCTGCCCTCCCATTGATTAAGGTATTAAAAAATATGAAATATTAAATTCCCAGGAGGCAAGATCATGTGGAAGAAAGGGAATTAGAACTTGAGTCGGGAGGGCTGGGGTCTGATGGGATAGCATCTCTCTCTAGCTATATGGCCTTCTACCAGCCTCAGCCGCTATGGGTCTCAGTTGCCTTATGTTCAAAAGGGGGCAGATGGACTAGATGGGGCTAAGACGCCTTCTAGCTTTACAAATTTGGAGCTCTTGTAATCCTAGAGCTAATTTAAAACCTGAATATTTGGGGAGAACCCAGATGGTCCAAATCTCTAGAAAGAGCCTGGGTTTCAAGTATCCATTAGCATTTCAAATGATTAAAAGTGTTCTTGCCATGAGTCCTGGGGCTAGTGCTGGACTGACCCATTGTCTTCTGGCAAGTAGAATACACACACACAATACTAATAAAAGCTGTTGTGGGGAGATACTCCAAGAGCTTCTCCTTACCAAGAGCAGAAGGGAAAGTTCAAACCAATCTTCTTAAATAAATAAATGGCACATCCCACCGCACCAGCGCCCTGGCCCGGCTTGGCATTTGGAAGATGGCAGTCACGCGGCTTTTTAAAAGGTGTGCGTGCTGTGTGCCGTGATTGTTTTGAAATGCAAGGGAGACCAGCGGGTCTCAAATTTCAAAGGTTCAAAGCTACTCCAAGAACAGTTTTAAGAACAAAGGGAGATGCTGTGAAGCCCATGAAATGGGGGCTTTCACATTTCAGAAAGCACTTCTGCTCCCTGGAAAAGGGAAAAGTCTTTGGTCTCACAAGCCACTACGGAGGTTACCACGGACTCTTCCCTGGAGCATGGAAGGAGCCGCCGCCAACCTTGTTCTCTTTGCTCCCCCTCTGCAAGAAGAAAGGGGGGGCTTGATTTAATCTTTCCATCTCAAATCCCTCATCACATATGTAGCCCTGAGATGTGCAACATATCAATGTCAACATATCAATCTGGCTCACACGGAGACATGATGACGGGCCAAGTGCATGTTTACACAGAAAAGCTGGACATGCCTGTCTCTCTCTTGTACAGACCTAGTTATTTCCATGTTTGTGTCTCCCATTAAAGGTGAGCTCCTAGAAAGCAGAGACCACGTATTTGCCTCTCTTTACATCCCCAGTTCTTAGCCCGGTGTCCAGCACACAGTAATGGTTTAATAAATGCTCACTGACTCGCTTCTCTGGCTATTATACATGTAGGGGAGTGTGCTCCCTGACTTGAGGAGATAACAGGGCTGCACAGTCTTTGGGCCTTCTCTCGCTTCTGGGACGTGCCTATTGATTACTCCTTTGAGAGGGTAGGAGGTAAACGGGCATCTGCCGGGATTTGGTTGGCTTAAGCCATGATGGGTCAGAGTCACCCTTTGTTCCTGCCCTAGAAAGAATCAGCCCTCTGCTTCTGTAGAGGCTCCAGCCCAGTCCCCAGCCAGCCCCGTTCCCTGCTGGTTAGACTAGCTGGCCTGTGAGATGATATTAATAATAGCAATAACAATAGCTAGCATTTATATGATGCTTTCCATACACACGGTCTCTATAAATACAGCTTTAAATTGCACTAATACTTTTGGGACACCAGTATTATCTTGTCTGATCCTCACAACGAGCCTGGGAGGAAGGTGCTATTATATACCCCATTTTATAGATGAGCAAACGGAGGATGAGACAAGTTAATGACTTGCCCAGTGTCACAGAGTTAGTAAGAGTCTGACACAGAATTTGAGCTCGGGTCTTCCTGACTCTAAGTCCAGCAATCTCCAGGGATTTATCCTCTTCCAACACTGGGAACCTGTGATTCTTCCCTTGGTTACGTTGCCCTTTTTTTTTGCCCCTTTTTCTTCTCATAGGATCACAGATCTGCAGCTGGACTAGACCTCAATGACCATCCATTTTCCAAGTGAGAAAACGAGTGATTTGCCCACCACATTCCCATGTGTAATAAATCTCGTGTTTTTTACTACAAGGGATAGCTACCTGGGTAGAAGAGGGAGGAGGGATGTATTTGAAAGAGAAGGTGATGTGAAAACAAAAGGTATCCATAAAAATGTAAAATTTACAAGAAGAAAAGAACGCTGTGAGAACCGGAGCGAAGGGCCTGCCTGGGCCCTAGCTATGCTCCACCTGCCACCCTCTCCCTAATTATCTCAATGATTACTGCCCCTCCTAAACAGAGCTTTCCTGACATGACCCTGCGTTCCATTCAGTTTTCAGGATTTCAAAGCCCAGCCTCAGTCAAGCAGAGCCTGTGGGCCAGAGTCAAAACGCTGGCAGGGAGGCGGTCAGAAACATCCCCCAGAGGGCCTAGCCTCCGAGAACCCTGGCCAACAGCCATCCATGGGCAGGCTCTTCTGATTAAACAGGTCTGAGCACCTTCTGTTCTCAGGCTCTGTCTCCCTTAGGGCTGCAAAGGCAGCTGCTTTCAGAAAAAAATTTTAAAAAATTTAAAGACTTGCTTTTTTTTAAAACTACTGTCTGGACAGGGCAGGGAGGGAGATCAGACGAAGAGAGGAGCCCCAAAGGGACACTAAAGAAATGAAGCGACAGCCTCTCCTCCCCCTTCTTCTCTTCCTTCCTTATCTTCCTTCCCTTCATTCTCTCTCCTCTGATTGAACCATTTTTCCTCTTTATTGTACTGTTTCTTTTGACTTCTCTCCCAAACTGTGCCTTTTCAAGGGAGTTAAAAACCCTTTGGTCTGAGCACAATGCATCTGGTTTCCCATTTCTGCTCACCTTTGTTCTCTGAGTATCATTAAATGGGCCTTATGTCTTCTATTCTATTTAACCTGCTCCCTCCAGGTCTGGTCGCCTTCATCATTGTTTTTAATGGAAAGAAGGAGTTTTTCTCGAGGGTTAGTCCTCTTTTGCTTCTGTCTCCATTGACTTCATTGGCTGTTGTAGTCGTTTCTCCTAAATAGACCCTAAGAAAGTCTGCTGCTTCTTGGCCTCTTCAGGGCCTCATCTTCCTGGGGTCCTTAACCCTTTTTGTGCATTACAGACCCCTGTGGCAGTCTGGTAAAAACCTACGGACTCCTCACAATAATGTTTAAAGCATAAATAAAACACACAGAACTACAAAGAAACCAGAGGTTAGCAAAAATGAAGATGCAATTGGAGGAGGGGGTGGGCAGGTTTCCCATCTAATTTTCCATCTCCCTGAAATCTTTCCACGGACTCCTTGGGAGTCTGATCCCAAGTTAAGAATCCATCATCTGCACAGACCATCACTTCTCAAAGTTTCTTGCTTGTTATTGACTAGAAAGGCTATGTTTCTGTGAGCAATGACTTGTTCTAGCCAACCTTGCATGCAGGTAGTTGCAATAGCAATCTTTCTACCCAGAATTCAGCTCCCTACAATTTGAACCCATCTGGAAGGAGGCCAAGAACCAGGAAGCAAACATAAAACATCTCCTGTTTCACAGAGACCATTCAGTAAAGCACACATACTTTATTCCCTCCCTCAGGGATTCACTCAAAGCCCATCAGATCTTATTTTAGATGGGATTCTAGGGAATCTGGCTAGTTCTTTTATGAACACATTATAGATTAAAGGTAGCAAATTGGAGGTGAGGAAAGAGACTGTTTTCAGCAGCCAAGGACAGAGACAGGTAAACTATAAAGTAGTCACAATTCACAAAGCGCAGCAGGCAGGGGCCACTTAATGTAAGGGCAGACTGGCTTATAACATCAACAAATCCTGAAGTCATCATTTACTTTATACAGCACAGAGCAATAATTGGTATCCATGGTGATGAAGTGCATGGTAGGCAGGTAGGAAGGAAGGAAGGAAGGAAGGAAGGAAGGAAGGAAGGAAGAAAAAGAAAGAAGGAAGGAAAGAAAGAAGGAAAGAAAGAAAAAAGAAAGACAGGAAGGAAGGAAGAAAGAAAAAGAAAGAAAGAAGGAAGGAAAGAAAGACAGATAGACAGACAGGAAGGAAGGAATGAAGGAAGAAAAAGAAAGAAAGGAAGGAAGGAAGAGGGAAAGAAAAA